AAAAAAATAATTCATCCCTTTTATTTAAATTTATTTGGGTGCAAATAAATAAAAAAAAATCCATATAAAAAATAAAATATTTTAAATTTTTTTTTTTTTTTTTTTTATTTATTGAGTTATGAAAAACAAGAATTTTTTTCCTTTTTTTCTTAGAATAGAACAAAAAGAGAAAGTGATGTGTTATTTGTGGCATGAGGTAGTTGAAAAGATGTTTTTCACTAGTGAAACAAATCGACAGAAATATAAAATAAAAGAAGAAATAGTGATACGTTTCAATTTCATGATAAAAGGTAAACAAAAAGTATAATCGATAAAATGTCAGGATACAAACGAAACTATTTTTTATGTTTAGTGGAGAGAGCAATTATAAATCTAGATGCAAGTTTTATAACTCGTCTGATTTTTGTTATTGCTCTTTAAAAATTAAAGTAAGACTCATATTACACTTAGTGAGTTATTATTACTTTTCGTGTTTAAGATGTAATTGAAAATTTTTGAAAAAGTGAAACTGTTTTCTCAAGGAATGTTTTTGTTAGAGAGCGAACGAGAGGAAAAAACAGAAAAACAACGATATTTTTCCTCTCTTTTAAAGGGAATATAAAACGGAAGAGAAAGGAGAACGTTTACAGTGTTTTTCAACGGCTGTTAGGCAGTTAGCAATTTTTTATTACATATCCCGTAAGAAAAATAATAATTTTACGAAGTCTACTTTTTCAAACTCATATAACACACGATAAAAAAGATATACCACTAACAGCTGGTTAATGATCCATTATTAGGCCGTTTAATGAACTTTAAACAAGCTAAAGTTGTATATTAATGGTATCTGTTTGACACTGTTTTAAGATGGTTAACTGATCATTTTTCAAATTAAATGCTAAGGATGTTATTCGATAGAGGGAGTCTAGTTACTTATAATATATCGATCCACAGAGTTGTTCAAATTTTGTTCGTTGATATTTCGTAGTTTCGAAAAAACTACTCGAATCTAGTATTGCGAATGTTAATAATATCTGCAATACTGAATGTATTGTCCCTAAATCGTAAAAACTACTCGAATAATCTGTTCTTGCATCTTTTATTTTTTTACTTACGTGTCTACTGTACTACGAGAAAAATAGCATCCTATGATCGAGAATATTTAAGATCAATGAAATGTTTTGTTGTTGAATGTTAGCATTACGAACATCTAAGTTGTAGCCTATTCTAAATTCTTAAAACCCCGATACTAATTTTACTGTCATTCCTAAAAATAGTGACAGGAATTAATTATGCACTGTTTTTGATGATCAGAGGACTATGTTTTTGTTTGTAGAAGAAGATTAGCGTCTTTCCAGTTCCATGATTACGTAAATTATTGTGTATGATGTTGAATACGACAGTAAACAGTATAGTAATTTGACATATACGTGTCGTATCATGCCGTATTCTCATGTGCAGTATTACAATGTCGTATTTCATCAGAAGGAAATAACGACATTATACAATTAAATACGACACACCGTATTTCGTCTCAAATAGTCGTATTTTTGGGGCTATTTTTATTTTTTAATTTTCCAATTAAATTTTTAAAAGTTTTCCGTACCAATATTTTCCCATACAGAACATGTCCAAATGTGTCCTTAAATGATACTTGCAATAAATTTTATAAGGTCAAAACGGACTTTACATGTTTTTCTTAGAATTGATTACTCTTTTATACTCTGCTAGTGACAAAGCAAAATGCTAAATGAGAAAAATACACACGATGAAAATACTGCACGTATACGACACTTTACAACAGTTGTTTACTTTTTGTGTAAAAATTTTTGAAAATATTTTCAGCATGATCTTAAATGGCTGGCGTAACAGCATCGTATTTCATCGTTTACATGGCACATCACGTATACGACTGTCATATTTCATCGTATTTTAAAGTCGTCTACCGCCTTTGAGCTTGGACTTGGGATTAGTTAACAATAGTTAGTTAAGATAAATCAGTTAAGCAGACAGATCAAATTCTGATCCACTCTTTGAAATATATAAAATTGCCGTTATTTGTTTGTCTTTGAACTTTTTTTAATGTATAACAGTGCTTATATTTATTTTAAAAGAGAAACACGATTAGTTGGAGTTGGACAAGTTTTTTTTGATTGTTGCAATCTTCTTGAGTTAGATTTTCTTTTAAAAATACTTTCGATAATCTTTTATATGAAGAGTTAAATTTCAATGTCTACATGAATGTGTGATATGCCTATGAATGTATAAATGAGTGAGCATTTCGTTTTTTTATTTAAAAAAAAACGTTCTCTCTTCCACTCGAATTTGTGTAGTGCTTTGTTTACTTGAAAGAGTAAAAAAAAAGAAAAAAAGAAAAGTTCTTGACTGTTATGGACAGCAGTAATAATAAAATCAAAAATGAACAAAGTATCTTTCTTTCCTCTCTTTTAAGATAAAAATTGTTGAAATATGTTGAATTAATTTTTCATTTGGTCTCATTTGTGTGTGCATGTGTGTTGTGTTCGTCTTTCACCATGAAATTAAGTACACTTGATACAAAAGACCCGATTGATTTTAATAATTTGACAATAATTACCCATCCAAAACCGCCACGTCGTAGACAAAGCGGTGCAACCTATATACCATTTCGTCCATATGTCAAATGTCTTAATAGTATACGCCAACAACATTCGTTTACAGATGGAAAAGCAAGCTGGCTTACACAGGGAAAAGACGAAATTTTTTTTACTCAACAAAATGCAAGATGTATTGGAACATTATTAGACGATTGTGGTATATCCGATTCTATTCGATTAGATATTGAAGCCGAATCAACGAAATTACCGATGATGTGTAAACTATGGATTATAGGTAAGTTAGGTCCTTCGTTTGCTTATATTAATTAAATTATTTCTTTGTTTAGTTGATGGTGCTGTTGTGGAGCGAGGTAAAGCACACATGGTTCAAGATGCGGCTATTCAAGTTCATACCGGTGGTCGATCTCGTCGGAATTTAACATTAAATGATAGCGCTTCACGAACAACAACCTATGATAGACGACGTCGTCAGAGTTGGCATGATATTAGTGAATATCGATCGGTACCGTATTACCAGTACTCACGTCCAGCGAAAGATTGTCCACAAACGGGTGTTCAGTGTAATAGGGATTTAGAAACACCACTGTCCATGATAACAGAAACATCAGATGATACAAAGCTAATCAAAGAAGAAAAAATTGTCACACAAGAAAAGAAATCAATTATGACGCAAACTGAGTGAGTATAACGTGTAATTCAAGCAATTTGACTTGGTACGAAAGGCTATAATTACTTTATTAGAAACACGTGATATAATCATATTTGTCTCTTTTTACCTGATTAGATCTTGCTGCACTTTGTGATTCCAAGTAGTGATTAGGAAATGAATAAGACTCACCATGATATTGTATATTTTAGATCAACACATGATAATAGTTCAACGCAAACAAATTTCGAATATGTTCATTTTTATCATTTATTGAGTCATCAAAGTACAGCTATTCTATCATCCATGGTAGATCCTGTACTTTATCATCATCAATCACATTTAACAGCTGAAAGCTATTCATGGGAAACAACGGAAACGTTTCGAAATGGTGTTAGGTATAACAATGTCTTCGTATCAACTGGTGATGATTATCCAAAATGGTGGATTCAAGTTTTAAGTACTGCGAGTATATTATCAGAAAAATCGATCAATGTTCAAGAACAACAATCGATCATAACAATGTCTAGTCCACGAATGCAAGAGCAAGGTGTTCAAACCGAACGTAAGCAGTCTCGTCAACAATCATCATCGTCTCTATTAACAGAGAAGAACTTATACGATGATTTTGACGAAAACAATCACACTCGTATGCGAACAAATAGCGGTTATTCATCACAAAATGAACATTTACGATCAAAAACAAATTCACGTCTATCTGACTATTACAGTAGCGATTTAGACGGTAATTTGACAACAGCAAATAATAATAAACGAGCTGATCAATCATCATCTCGTTTAAGCGATTATTTATCAATTAAAGAAGAAGATGGTCAAAATAAAAATAGCTCTTCCTCTCAAACTCATTCACCATCACGAGGAGGAGGAGATCATCTGGATTATAAACAATTTGAATTATCATTAAACACTTTACCGATTAATAATCATCATTCATTAACTCGTCAATCAGATGTTAGTTTAAATTTATCATCTTCACATATTTTACGTTCACCATTTCAACGAAGTAGTACAACAGCAGCAAGAAATCGAACAAGTTCAGAAATATCAACAATTCTAGACAATAGGCAACATCGAACAGGAGCAATAATAGCAACAAAATGGGAACCAACATCAACATCCATACTTATTGATGATAAAATGATAAAACGGGAAACACGAAGTGATGTTGAAAGTGATGATTCGTATGTTCCATCATTATCTGAAATAGATCGTATTTTAGAAATATATCGACAACAAGCACTTCTTGAAATTAGTCAGCGATCAAATATCGATAAAACAAATATGGTATGTAAAAATTACTATACTAAAATATTATAAAGTCTTTTTGTTTGATTTACTTTTATCAGGATTTATTTGTCTAAATATTAGTTTAGTCTAAATGATATGTATTAGTTGAAAATGAAAATATATAATTTGTACTTGAAATCAACGTAACATTTGACCACTATGCTAAGTGTAATAGAAGTCGTCTGTTATGAATTAGAAAAAGTTGAACAACCTTGAAGATCTGTGTGTGTGTGTGTGTGTGTGAGATTTTTCTTTTTTTCTCAATAATAGTGAATTTTGTCTTCTGCGTTACATAGGAAATGGAATTATATACGGGTAATGAACATTCAATTCGATCATCAAGACACAATTCAGTAAATGTTATTCCATCACAGGGTACTATAGCAACAATAGCAACAAAATATCGTTCAATTAAACCAACAAGCCAAGACATGATCAATGCATATATGGATGAACGTTGCACTGCATGTATACCACGATTATTAACATCACGACTAGAACCATCACTTGCACTACCACCCATATCAGAATTATCACTAATCAAACCGGAATATGTTGAATTGAACTATAATAATTATTGGAGTCCATGGATTGCGTATAATGAACAACGTGTGAATGATTTACAAAAACGAATTGAATTGTTACTCCAAATTGATGATGATCAAGATTTATTGACATTGACAGCTCCGTCTCTAATATCCTCATCAAATAGAACAGTTACGCAACATATTGATGATATTTTATTACAAGATAAATACAATGATAAACATCATTTCTTAGGACATCGTGCACTTACTTATCCATCGACAAACAGTAAATCGAGTAGCAGCATTACACATGCTAATGGTAGATAAGATAAATCTGAGTATAGACACTTCTGTTACAGATAATTTTTATGTATTATCTATTTTTAGGCATATTAAATTATCCATCTTACTCTCGTTATTCACCACATTTTTATCGACTAAGAGCAGCATTAAATTATACTGCTCTACCAGAAAATATGTATCATGCATTACCAATTTCTCCAAGATTTACACAACAAAAATCTGTACGAATTGGTCCCGTCACTCACTTAAAATCTACACCTGTTTCACCACGATCTGCGGATCATTCACATCATCGTTTAAAATCAACATCACGATCAGTTCTACATAAAAAACCACCAACTCATTATCATCGATCAATATTACGCTCAACAGCACCACATATGAACACTTCTCATATCTGGCAAAATTCAACAGATGGATTAACATACGTTCTTCAACAATGGAGTATACCACGATATTATCGTTTATATGATGATGTCGGCTTTCGTGACATGTATAGGATTTCGTTATTAATGAATCCTTATTTGGATCAAGCTGATGTCTATTCAAATATAGCAAAAAATTATTTATTTGAACAAGTGACAGCATCATCTTAAAACTCATCGAGTTAAGATAAACACTCTCATACATACATCATATATATATAAAATTTACTTTTTCATCTTTTGATAGTTCAGTTTTCTTTTTTTTTATAGCTATGTACATATGTCAAATCTTGGCTAACAATATGATTTTGTTATGATTTGCGTAAATCATACTTTATTCCTCTTCTATTTATCGTTGTCAAAAAATAGAGTTCATATTTCATTCGTAAATTATTTCAACCTAATATTTCAAAGAGTCATGTTTGAATGACATTTCATGGACATTGCAAAAAAGTTGTCAATTAAATTTTTGGCAAAAAGTAGTAATTCCTCGTTAATGAAGATTATAATATGTTCAGTAAATGACAAGATATAGTGTAATGTTTATTGTTTGCTTCAACAACGTGTCTGATACATATGAAAATTTTATGAATTCATTCTTCATTCTACTACAATATATTTAATATTCATATTTTTATATCTTACCGATAGTTATCTTAAAAATGTTTTAGTTTAATTTTTTTGATATCAATGAAAAAAAGAATATTTAAAAGAAATCTTTTAAAATTTATTTAGATATTGTAACTTGATGGAAAATGATGATATTTAATCGTAGAATTTGATATTATAACAAAAATATGAAACGTATTTAATTTATCAAGGATAACTTTTATAAATAGAGAATTTTATTCTATTGAAACTGATCTGTTTTTGATAACGTTTAGTGTTATTAAAATATGAAAAGAGATGTTCTCTAGAATTAATAGCCCAAAAAAACCCATCATAAGATAATGTTCAATAAAATATATATTATAAATAACTCTAGAACATCTATATAATTATAGATGAGATGGATTTCTTTTTATTGGTTATTTTGATCTTGACCTAGTTATTTTAAGAGACTTGAACGTAGGTGTTAATTACGTGCATTAGCACCTCTTCTCATTGTGTCATTGACTCAGGCTGGTGTTCGTTATTTTTATTTTCTTTCTTTCTTCATGGTACGTTAATATAAAAATAATATCCAAGGATATCAAAGAAGACATATGGTCAGATTTTTTTTATTATCAAAAAAAAAAAAATTCTTTCTTTCTTCGTTTATGTGTTGTGTGTGTGTGTGTGTTCTTGTATTTGGTACTACTTTATAACAGACTAACTTTATTTTCTTTCAATCCTTATTCCTATATATCTACTTAAACAGTGTTGCGCAAGAAGAAGAAGAAGTAGAAGAAAAAAGTGGCCATTGTATATACGTAGGTATTACTTACTTTTTAAAACCGTTATTTTTAATCTAAATTTATGAGAGACAATTCTTTTCTTATTCATTCGTAGAGTATAGTACTCAAACATATTGTTCGATCGTTGTTGTACATATAGCCAGTGATGATTATACAATTGTCAAAATGTTATATTTCAAATATCATTAATAATAATTATTCTTATTCTAATCGTTCAATAATGAGTTTGTTTTTAATTATTGTTTTGTTATTAACGTTAAAAATACATTGTGTTCATACACAATCATATTCTAATATTCAAGGTGAGAAATAATTGTTATCAGTTAGATTTAATCTAAAATTTAAACTTAATTCTAGTTAAATAAATTATCATTATTTTTAATATCTGACACAATTTATAAAGTAGAAAAATAAAATTCATCATTTTTTTTTATATAAAAATAAATTTGATCAAAAACATGTCTAATATATCGATCTTTCTTCACAAATTTTTGGTTAAAGTTTTGTAATTGTTTGTCTATCGAAAAATATCAAAAAAAAATTATACTAATGACTTTAAAACGTTCATTGACTCTCTAAGACTTGAAGAAAAATTTTGTAAAAATTCCCCTTTCGTTAACGATATTTTCATTGTACATTTTTCTCTAAATTTACTAGAAGATTACCAAAGATCGATTACAATTTGTTAACTAAATGATTCTTGAAAAATATGACTTTAATTATAGATGAGAAAATAGATCGATTTTTATTAAGGTCTTATGTATAGAATATTCTTTCTTAATTTTTGAATTAAAAGAGAATGAATTAAATGTCTACTCTATTATCTATTATCAAAGACACTTTCGTATAGAATATGGACAAATGTATTTGGAATATAATGATGAAATTTTTCATCTCATAAGTCCTTGAGAATGTGGCATGAAGAATCAGTGGCCAACGATCTATTATAGAAGTTTATGTAAATTGACGTAAATGTTGATGTATAAATGTTATTCATGGTTTTCTCTGTTGAAGCCATTGAACAAGAGTTAATTAACTATTCAATCCATTTTCTTTTCACTCGAGTAAAAAGTTGTTAAGTGAAGAAACTGCAAGAAATAAATGATTCGAACACATTGCGTAAGACATGATCTTGATATAACAAAAAAAAAAAATTTTTTTTCTTAATTTTTTATCACATCTTGTTGTCAATCTCATCGTTCTCAAGAGAAAGAATTTTGACAAGAAGTAGAATTGGAAAAATATTTCAATTTAATAAAAAAAAAAAAAAAATTCTTCTCATTTTTCATTTTATATGAACATCGTTCTTTAAACACTCATTTCTCTATCAAATACGATTAGTAAAAGAATTCTTTGTTTCTGATACACAATGAAATTTAATTAATAGTTAGTCACTTTTCTTTCTTTTGTCATACCAGTCAACACTACTCATTTACAAAAAAGAACTTTTCATTCTCTTATCCACTATGTATCATGTTAAGAGTATTAAATATTTCGAACATTTCATGTTCATTAAGTTGTGATTTTTTAAAATTGTTTAAATTGATGACTGCGTATCAAAGACCAAAAAGAATTCTTAGACAATTTTCTATTTATATTTTTTAGTATGATTCATTGCATGACCCTATTTTTTAAATTTTAATTTAAACAGTCACGCCAACTAGAATATTAAACATTTTTTCTTCTTCTTTCTATTCTCTTTATATCAGAATATAGTTGAGTATCATTTTTTATTTTTTTTTATAAGATGGGAGTTAATGGAAGACTATTAACGCAGGTTCATGATTGAGATTAGAAGTTCACTAGGCGTTCTTCGTTCCTTTACGTACTAGATCGCGTTTTCGGTTTTTCGGTAGTCGTAGCCAGGAGAAGTTAGTTTCTATATTTCGTGTTACTAAGCCATGCTATTTTACGTTTAAGTTAGTCAACATCATTTCTAATTTCTAAACTTCTCAGTCGAAGTAGTATCTAAAAAAAGAAAAGAAAAAGAAACTCATCATTCAAATTTCGATCCGCCCTTTCCCACCCTTAATGGAGTTCAGTTAGATTTCCTTAATGTATTCTCATCTGCGGTGTTCACTTAATTTTCTTTTTCAGTATGATGAGTAAACCGAGGGAGAATTAAATGCTCCAGATGAGTACTAAAGTTGTTCATCTCGATTAAATAAACTATCAATCAATTCAACTTCTGGTACTGATACAATCTCAGTGACTACCAAATAACTATCATCATCATACTATACTATCATTCCAATATATAAGGAACTGTATACTGCAACTATTATACTGCAGCTGATACTGCAACTTCTTAGTCTCAGCGCAGTCTATCGATGAAGCGCCATTAGATTTGCTCTGTGCGATATAGATTAGCCAAACATCGAAGTGCTTCGCTCCTGCCACAGCTGTTCTGTCGATCTTAGTTACAGATCAGTAGCTGATGACGAACGGCCTCAGGCTTCTTTGCTAGTTGTTCTTCCACCTTTTACTACGGGTATTGTTCTATGTGCTCGATTGTTTAGTGTACGTATGTAAGAACATTTTCTTTAATAAATGTCCACAATGCCAGTCTTAGTCTCATACTACAGGAAGCGATAAGCATGAATCTTTGTTTGTTTAACGTTTAACATCAAGACGATACTTATATTCGTCTCATCTAATCAGACTTGTTTAATTTGTTGACACGTTCAATTTTCATTCACACCCACTCACACACACGTTAGATTTAAATTTCTTATTTGAACAATTTGATCAAATTATTCGTACTCAAAATTTTCATAATTTTGGTTTTTGTACGTTTTCGCGTGTCATACTAATAGTACGGCACAATACTACATTACGATTAAAGAAATATACTACAAAGAAGAAAAGAAATTTGCATACTTACTATACACTTTATGACGAGTAAATGTCTCGGTAGTTAAAATAATCGAATTCATAAAGTAAGATTATTGTTATCACTGACACATGTCGATTGAAATCAATTATCTATCATTCTTTTCTATCTGAATTTTTATAAAAAACAAAAAGAAAAAGAAAAGAAAAATTTCTCTATAGACTATGTAAAATAGTATTTTATTTCTTCTTTTAGTTCTTGGTCAGGATGATGATCCCAATTGTGTCAAATGTGATATTCGTGCCGTATGTGTTCGTATGGGAAATACAACCGGTGTCAGTTGTGTTTGTATGCCCGGTTTCACTCTAACAGCAACTGGTCAATGTATTCTTGAAGGTAAATACCAACAAAAAAAACAAAGAAGCTAAATAATTTTATAAGTTTTACTTGAAAAACACGTTTTTTCTTCGAATTGCTTGTGTTTTTTTCTTTTTTAAACTTTTACAGAAAAAAGTTTTCTCTCTGTTACATAATAATTGTACAATCAGAACAAGACAAAGTAAAAAGTAACTTGACTTAACTTGAACAACCATTAGATATTCGATTGATCATCATGTTAAAAGGAAATCAAATGTGACTTATTCAAGGTCTTTAATTTATATTTTTAGATATACCAAGAAATGGAAAGTGTGACAATAGATACGAGTGTTTTAACGGAGGTATAATTAATAATTAAATTTAAAATGTTATATCCAAGATTTTCTTCAACAAAATAGTGACTAATTATGAGCGCTTATCCTTAATAATTATCTAGGAAATTAGCGATAAATGATCTGAAAATTCTTTTTACAATAATTTATACAAATATTCTTAGTACGCCGTGAGATTATTCTTACGGATAAAAACGTTTGATAATACAACTTTAAGTTTTTATTTAAAATGGGAACGTGACAAAAATTACTAGTGGAAAAATTGGTTGTATTTATTAGGAAAAAAATCAAAAGAATTTTAGAAAGTCTAAATAGATTTTAGCATAAAATTTTTTATTTTGGTAGTGGTTTTCAATGTTTTAAAAGTGAATACATCAAGAAAATACCATTTTCTTGTTAAAGGAGTGTGGAAATGCGTGTATAGAATCGAAAAATTCGTTTTTCATCTATCGTCTTGTAACTGGAAAATAAAACAAACGATTTATTTTTAACGTGTTTTGCTCAATCGTAATAGCCAGAACAAATCCACAAAGTTATTTCAATACCTGAAGTAACTAGAACAATGTGTAGGCAAATGTCCGTAAGATTTGTCGATATGGGATCTTTAACAGATCAGAACTCTAGGAAATCAAATCTTTGGATATTCACGACATTTTTTCGTGAAATTACATTAATTATACAAAAGGTTTCAGCCTATTAAAATGAACAGGGAAATAACAGAAAATGCTTTTGAGATCTTCGTATAATTAATGCAGTTTCGTGAAAATATGTCCTAGAAAGGTCGGAGATATCTCATTTTATTCAAAAATGTTTGTTCACTACGACTTTATTGTATGCAAAAAGTTGATTATCCATTCTTGGACTTGGTTTTCTAGAGTTCTGATTTGCTAGAGATCTTATATCAGAAAATCTCATGGACACTTCCATACACATTGTTCTAGAATAACCAACTCTTTCAGCTATTGAAATCACTTTGTGAATTTGTTCTGACTATTATGATCGAGCAAAAAACATTAAAAATGAATAAAATGTAAACTCATCATATCTATTGTACTAGCTATTGTAATAATACTGCTTCAATTTGTTTATCGTTTTTAAGGTCATTGTTCAAATGAAAGTCAATGTTTGTGTCTAAATGGTTACGGTGGTATTATGTGTGAATTAGATATTAATGAATGTGTGCAAAGTATCACAGGAGATAATATTTGTGGAAATCATCCATGTACTAATTTACCTGGTGATTATCATTGTCAATGTGATTTTTTTCATTCGGGAAAAAGATGTGAAATAAGTAAGTTCAAAGAGAAATTCCAAATTTATCTGTTTCATTCGATATTATCTATTCATACGAATTAACGAGAAAAAAATGTTTGAATATTCATCAAGTTTCATATGTCTTGAATGTTTTTCTAGTTAGTGGCATTGGTCTATTTGTTATTATTCTGTCATCAGTCATTGTTACGTTAATTGTTTTATTTTTAATATTATTATCTATTCGAACATTTTTACAATATCGATTAACACGAATAGCAAAGTAATGATTGCTATTGTTTTTCTTTTTCGGTTGATGAATATAGAAGAATATTATGTTTATTCTTTTAGAGAAAAAGATCCACAGTCAAATCCACATTTGGTGACATTAACAACGGGTTTTGATGATTCAGCATGTGTGAGACCGATAAAACGAATTTATATGCCAATGACTACAAGTTTTCAATCGATCTCAAATGATAAACAAACAAAAATTGATGAAATATTTCCACCACAATATGAGGATACAAAAAGTTAGATATTAATTGAGTACAGTATCACAGTAAATGTTTTATTTGTTTCGAAACATTTTTAATAAATTTTTATATTTTTTCATATATTTAAATAGTAAAAGATGTTCTTGAAGAAATTTTAATTTAGAATAAATTTCTCTAGGATTCTCAAGTGTCGATTTTAATATAATATATTCAACTGCTCCATGAGCGATTATAAATGAAGAGAGTCATTTTAAAGTATACATTTTATTTAAAAAATAAACAATTACAGGTTACATTCTTGAAAAGAGAAGAAAAATTTATTTTTAGTCTTTAATTTTTTCTAAAATTTTTACTTTTTTGTTGTTTTTGGTGTCTGTGGTTTTGTCTCATTTTCAACTAAACGAGAAAAAGATGTCATATATTCTCATAAACCACTCTAAAAAACGATTTTACTTGATTGATTAACAGCTGTATAAAATGGAGCTAAAAACTCTTCGGCTTCTTTTGTTTTCGTTATAAATGCTTGTTGTTGATTCATATTATTATTTTCATCTGACCATTTTAACAAATCAACTGTATATTTTTCAATTTTTTTCTAAAAATATAAGAATACTATTTTCTACATCTTATTTTTCATATCTGATATCTTACTTTATCATCTTTGTTTAATTTGTTAAGATTTTTTGTTGGGTCACTAGCAAATTCTTTTGCATCGTTAATCGTTTTTAAAAAACTATTTCTGACCGCTAAACGAGATAAGATTTATACCTAATAACGGAAAATTATAGTGCATAATATAACTTACCAATCCATTCTAGGTATTCAACAATATCAGTGTGTTTATATCGTTTTGCTACATCGATAGGTTTTTCACCATGTATTGTTGTAAATTCAATATCGGCACCACCTGTAACAATATGTTTAACAGACTCTAATCGCCCCCACGCACAAGCCATATGTAAAGCCGAATAACCTAAAAATATATTTCATCTTAGTTCTAATGTTATGAGTAACAGTCACCGGCTAGTAATCAAGGATTTGCTACTGAACAACGGCTTAGACATGGTAGATGTTTAGGAGAGAATTTTGATTATGTTCGAATTCAAATATAAAAGCATCGATGTCTTTTCTTTTAACAAAAATCATATCACCAATAAAAAAAAATTAAAGTTTGTCTAGAGTTAAAGAAAAGTGCTTTTTCGTATTCAGCACACTTGATAACCTGGAAAATTTTCTATTTTTAGCGAAGGGTATCGCCAAAAAGTTAAGAAAAATTTTCAAACAAATTGACGCAGAAAAATCTCCATGGTAAAATTATACAATTTTGAAAAATTTTCTTAACTTTTTGGCGGTACCCTTCGCTAAAAATCGAAAATTTTCCAGGTTATCAAGTGTGCTGAATACGAAAAAGCACTTTTCTTTAACTCTAAATGAACTTTAATTTTTTGTCCGTGATATGCTCAGTATTTTTCTGCTTATACAAAAGAAAGGCCAATAGTGACTTGTAACTTGTTTTGTGAAACTCCACACATATTCTTCTAAGTAATAGAAGTTGATATTTATATGTAGAAACTGCTGAATTCTGATCGATTTTTCAACCGAATTTTTTGTTGAACTCATTGTTTTCATGCTCATGTCACGCATATTCTTATTATCATATAAAACAGTGGCTCTGAGATGAGCTAAAAGACAGCAGATACAACAAAGGATTACTAAATAAATTTTATTATGAACGAAATTTTGATTATTAGTGTATTTATAAATATTTCACATTTTTAGGCCCACCGTGAGCACTAAAAAAGTATTTTTCTAAAAGAATATTCTGTCGTCTTCTCTAAACATTATACACTACTTACAGCTAACGAGGAAACTATCTCAAGTGTCCAACCGTTTTCTTTTTGAAGCATATTTAATTAAGCGTGATTTTTCATGCCGATTACGAGTCTGCAATACATTTTTGCTCTTAGAGCTTACTTTTATGATCCTCTACAAATATGGTTTCTACACCGCCACCTCCCATTTGAAAAATTCTGATACAACTAGTTTGCCAAACTAGGTAGGCAGCGCAACATACTCTACAGCCTGTATAAATAAAACAATAAAATTGGAATAAAATTGGAATAAAACTCGTGTAGCTCAGTTCTGAATAAAAATCTCGACAATGCGATCCTGTTACGTTGTTCGCCTTTATCATTCCTACAACATGAAGCAACCCCGACCTCTCTGGCTGCTTTCTCAGAACGGAATCTTTGTAACGCCATCTATCCCTTTTTGGTCTCTGATAACCCTATAACTTGAGAGAACGGCTGTGTCTAGAGACCTGGATTTATTTTGTAAACATCTTAGCCTAAGGCTACCATTCTCTGAAATTTTCGTGAAGCTCGAGCTTGTTGTTACTGAAATAGCTTTTTAGAGGGTGGGAGTCTTAATTAAATATGCTTCAAGAAGAAAACGGTTGGATATCTGCAGTGGTTTCTTCGCAAACTGAGAAACGCTTCATTTCAGTTTTTATTTAATGAATATACTACCTTCGTACCAGAACCATTGGTCTGATTAATATTTATATTTCCGCACTTTTCTGCCAAAAATTTAACAACCTGATCATGACCAAGAATACTGGCTAGATCCAAACATGTTCTTGTATATTCATCTCGAACATTTAATAAGTTGCTTTGTTGAATTGCTTCTAGTTTTAAATTATCCTTGGCTGGCAAAAATAATTCATTTAAACTATCATAATTGCCGGTTTTTGAATATTCAAACAGATTCTGTGTTAATTTTGAGACGTCGATCGGTTCAACGGGTCGATCATGAGCACTCTTCTACAGCAGAAATATTACTATGTTCAAAATTATTCAACGTAAATAACACGAAAGATGATAATCATACCTTTTTCGCTTCTTTTGCTGGCTAAAAGATGAAAAAAAAGGATTATGACAAAGACTAATATTTATCTCTTCATCATCAATTTTGGATTAAATGTCGTCTATGCACGATCTGAAGAATGGTTATTTGTAGAAAAGATCTACAAGCGCAATATAATAGATTGAGTGATACAGGCATAATTAACGAAAACCCATTTTGTTTTTTCTCAGCTTATTTATCCGTCCATGGGTATCAGAAAATAGTCTATTCTTAGAAATGAAGTGGCATTAACATTGTAGGAGTAAAGTTGGTTATGTACGAAGTGTGCATGAATAGAAACTTATTGAGCAAAACTAAATTCTAATTCGCGAAAAAAATAGACTGAACAATAAGTTAGGTGTTACAATCAGAATCTTCTAAGTTTAAATTAAAAAGCTGGATCATTTACATGAGTTAATCGTCAAAGATCACTATATGACCATACTATCCAAGCTGCTGGAATGTGTTCAATGAATAGTTAAATATTGAGTTATAAAGTGAGTAACAATGCCCGGGTTTTTAGGTGAGTTCTGTTAGCAATAAGTAATTTATCAGCAAGTAGCTCCAGTGTAACTTCCTAAGTTGAGAAGAAGTAAGAAGCAGTAAGAAAGAAGAAAATTAAGAAATTGGAACGTTTCATGAATCAAGATTCTAACAAGAAAGGAAAAAAATTTCTACATGAGAGGACTTCACTACTTAATCACGTTTACTATCTAATTATCCGTAAGAGCATAAACGACTACTCTTCAGTCAGAAACAATGGTAGATAATGACATATAACCGTTTTAGGATAACAAAGAGACATAAAATATTCATCTTGAAGGAGAACACACGTTGCCAGGAGCTTTATATTTTTTACTCACTTTTCGTGAATAAAATTCATTCATTCATATATTAACTGTACTCAGGTGACAAAAAAGTGATTCTTGTACCACTTCGGCGGTAGATATAGTAAAATTCGAACGATACGAAAAATATGAGCATATTACCTGCGCAAAGATGGGACGCAAAAACCCGAAGCGTTTTTTATCTAACGTTGGGAGAAACTATCAAATATTAATAATGAAAAAACGCTCATTTCCGAATCGAAGTGAATTAAAAAATATGAGTGGAAACTGGCGTTAGACAAGCACACTTAAGTGCTTCGTCCACTAGAGGAAAAGGTTAACTTCAACAAGTTTTTTTACCATTTTTATCGCAGTTTTTGGTCGAAGAACAGAATCCCCTGCTTCACCACAGCTTTTAACTCTTTTATAATCGCATCCATTCTATCCTTCACTTTCATTAATCTCTATGGTTACCACAATGCATTAGTATGTTAGGAGTTTAAGTTTATATGTTTGGAATATCCTCAGTTTTAAATTTCAAGTGTTGTTGGAACTGTTTACATCAACTTTCGATCTGATTTTCGTTTTTGATGTAACTAAGACTTAATTCTTCCACATTGTTATTGTAACTAATGCCGATTAAATGCACAAAGAAATGACAGGGATGGCTTTTATATCTGACTCATTTAGTACGCAAAAAATTAGTTAAAGAAGTTTATTACTTGGTTTTTTCATTTCAGCAAAAAGACTGAATTTCAGTGTTGGTTTTATTTCCCTGTATTTTTCTGCATAATAACTGTTGTTTCGTTAGCTTTATTTCCTTTTTCTTCATCACTACTGCAAGATTTCGCACTGATTACGGTAACAGTGTATTTACCCTAACATTAACTCTTGAGTCACCACCACGAGGAGATGTTCGATAGTCATAAACATTTGCTCTACGTCAGCTTCCCAATAGATAAGCGTTTACGTCAAGGAGTGACGTAGTGTTTGAGAAAGAAAGATCGGGGTAAAGTATAATTTTACTGCCTGATATTTTCTTTGTTGTTACACTTTGGACAAGAAACAGAGAACTGGGTCTGCTCACTATTTACACTTTTTATTACTTCTATAAGTCGGTGTAATCCCCATTAGACACTATCTGATTCATAAAACCGATTCTGATCTTTGCTAGCTTACGCATTGGCTAACTGTATCACTTATTTTGCCTAAAATTATATTTGTGTTATATTGATGATTATTTTCACAATTTATGGATTGTTAATCGGTTGATCTATTACTAAACTTTCGACTTTCGAATTTTTGGGTGACAGTCAGCGGATCCTAAAACCTTCATAGAATTAGTATGAAAGCCTCTTTCTTTCTGTTTTGCTGAGAAAACGAAAACTTTTGAATCAGCAAATGAAGGTCATTCCCGAGCTCCTCTATATGAGTGCCAAGCTTATCGCGTGCACGATGCTGGATGGATCCAGGATTAGCTGTAAGTCTCTAGGTCAGTCAATCAATGATTTAGGTAGATCGGTTGCCTCTTTTGTCAAAATGCGGGTCCTAGAATCGGAGATTTTAGACGGCTCCAAAATGTACGTCGTTCAATAATACTTGGTCTTCCTATAAAAATAACTTTAATCTATAAACAGATCTTCTTACATATCCAGCCTGTTATTTGTCAGAAGCGCTGCACTGAAATCAGTCTGTGATAGATAATACATCATCATATTGTCTGAAGTGACAAGTGAAATTGTTTTTCAGTAGAGGGTAAATATTTGTAATTACTGAAGTTACTGAAAAATGCCTGATCCATGATATGCCTCTCTTTATCAGAAGCCGAAGCTTGTTTCTTTTGTCATAGTTAAGTGCTTTAGCCTTTATAGCAAAGTGAAGACGACTTTCACAGTCGATGTGCCCGTATTATAATGAGTTTGTCTTGTTTTTCTAGATTAATATTCAAACAAGTAATGTCTCGTGGCAGAGATGATCGTGATTCTGGAAGTTCGGTATGTTGTTATTTATTTATTTGCTCTATTTAGTTTTGATTAGTTATTTTGTTTGTTTTATTAGTTATTTATTGGTGATTTGGGTCGAGATGCTAGTAAAGAAGAAATTCAAAAAGCATTCGGTTATTATGGAAAATTAAGAAACGTTTGGTTAGTAACTTTTAGAGCTGTAAGCATGTGAGAATATTTTGACCATATATTTCTGTTTTTTTTGTTGAAGGTTATCAAGATCTCCATGGGGTTATGGTAAGTTTGAAACTCTTCTTTCAGTCTTTTGGAACTTGTGAATATGTTTGGCATTTTAGGATTTATTGATTTCGAAGATCAAAGAGATGCAGAAGACGCCGTGAAAGCACTTGACGGAAAGTAAGTGATGCTAATCTTTTGTCATTGTGAGAACAAGTTCTTGATTGTTTAACTGTTCATTATTAATGAAAAAGCAGCAGTGTTACTTACATACACTGAAGAATGGAATAATCTATTTATTTGTTTCATTTAGGATGTTGTGCGGTTCTCGTGTAAGAGTCGAATTTTCACATGGTCGCGGACGAGCAAGAGGACGCCCGGGTCGTTCAAGTAGTCGATCACCACGTGTACGAAAACCTTTTAGTCCAAGTGATGTTTGTTATGAATGTGGAGGTATTATAACTCATCTTAGCAAATAAATTGTTAACCATCTTCTTTTTCTTCACTTTATTTAAAGATCGTGGGCATTACGCTTATGATTGTGAGATAAGATTAAAACGTCAACGACAAATGCGGTATGTACACTTGTTTAATTCTCTCACTACCAGTTGTTGTTTTTTCAAATCTTTGTTTTTTGTCTATGTTTGCTTTTCTTTGTAAACTTCACTTTTTCTTTATTCTTCTTTTTTGTTTTTTGTTATTTTCGACCCAGATTCTTTGTCTGAATCTGTGTTGTCCTACATTTTAGTTCATTGACCTAGACTGTGTGTGCGAAACGAAATGAACGGGTGAAATCGTGCAGCAGCGTGTTTAATGCGTACTTCATCTACATTTTCGAGTTAGGAACATTGATAAAACAGAAAGGAAAGGTTTCCCCAAAGGATCGTGTGTCTACGATGTGATGGTCGATCACACTGAACATCAATCATCCTGTTGTTGGTTTTTCACAATTTATAGTCACAGACACACACACACATCCGATTTATGTAAAATGAGAAAGAATTTTTCGATCGTTGATTTAAGGTGTGTATAAAAAAGAGAATTATCAAAAAAAAAATAAACAAACACTCAAATTATATATATTTTTATTAGGGAATTTATTGGTTAATAATATCGATCATCAAAAAGGGGTTTTTATTTAGAGTCGTAAGGAGAAAATAAAAAATAGTCACGAATTAAGATTTAGATTCTTGAACGAGTTAAATGATTTCCCATGTTCGTTCGTCCTTTGTTTTTCGAATTACATATCGATCAGATGAGGAACGATCGTTCGTTTTAAACAGTAAGTGGATTATTTCTACACCCTCAGACTATTTTCTGTTCGAATAGTAATGATGTTGAAGACCTTATGTAGTTATTATACAAAAACGCTTGTTCTCTTATTCGTCATGTGACCCTGTGGTGTCTGAAATACAATGGTAAATGTCAGTTCTAACTCCGAAATTTGTAAAAAAGTTGTTTCCAAGTAAAAACGAAATGGATAAGTGGATTTTATACCATAGAAATCGCCACTCATGAGCGTATTGACATGATTTTAATTTATAAAAGCTTATTTTCTAACAAAAACTATATTAAGAAAGAAGGATTTAATCCAAATGATGCCTCAAAAACGTATTTAAACTCAAAAACTAGACTCTTATTCGTAAGTCTTATAGGAACTTATTTTTCGGGAAATATATTACTTTATTTGTATATAAATTGATAAATGTTCTTAAAATACCACATTGTGATTCCATCATTGCACTTGAGTCTCTTGTTTTTCTACGAGACATTCATTCTTTCTAAAATAAAAACCGTAAATATCTTTTATAATTTTAGTTCTGGTTCAAGAAGCCATAGTCGCTCACATCGTAGCCGTAGCGGTGGTAGAAAACATCAACGTAAAAGGTATGTAAGAAATATTTCAACTTAATAACAAAAAAAAGTGAATTCAATGAAATAGTTGTTCTGTGATGAAGTAAAAATTTGTTTTTGTATCTTCTAGACGACGTTCTCGTTCATCAACCCGTTCACGGTCGCCACGACCATCTTACAGTCCATCACGTTCTCGTAGCCCTTCAAGAACAAAAAATGGCAAACATTCAAGATCACGTAGCAGGTAAAATTAAACGAACGTTTTTGTTTTTTGTTATCGTGTATCGATTTGTTTTTTCTATTCTAGATGAAAACCAAGCGTATGTTTAGAATAAGATCAAACTACGTCATCAATGTAGATTCACTTAACAAAAAATTTGCTTCTTTGTTTTATAGTATTCTTTAAAAGTGGTTTTTCTGCTCTTGCTTTCTTTCCTTGTTGTTGTTACCCTGAATATATCTAAATAATTATTTGTATGAAAAATGATTGTTTATTCTGCCTCTCTCTTTCAACAACTCATATCTGCTTGGTTTTTCTCTTCGTGTATTGATGTGTATTATACTCATGATTGTATTTCTCGTTTTTTTTTATGTGATGCTGCTACTGATGCTACATGTTTTGTTTTTTAATCATATTTTTTTGTCATCGAATAGATATGTGTATGTATAAACCGTTTCTCTGTTGTATTATTAATCTTTTTTGCTGAAAAATATGTTTACAAACTTACAACAGAATGTAATAAAGCTAATAGTGAGATGAAAGAAGTCTATTGCTTCATCAATGAATTTCTTACGCGTTTCGTCATAGTGTGTAAACGGCATACCAATAAAAAGGAACACTAAACAACCATGCGGTAATTGCCTATAGTGTAAATATTGAGCAGAAAATTATGGCAGACATAAAATGGTGAAGTTATATTCACTATTTAGTACAAAATCCACGCTGATGAACAAAGAAACGAAGAAGGATGCCTTTTGTGAAAGTGTACAATCAACTACAGTTAACATTTTAGACTTTCACAAAATTTTGATGTGGAATACGTCTTAATATCCTTTTCTGCTTGTTTGCTCAATTGTTAGTATTTTGTGAACGACAAAGTCGTGCTAACAAACCAGAACATTCAATGATCAAAGTTACACGCTCAGTATGTTTTGATGTTAATCTACTTTCTTTATTAAACTTCTTTAGTCTATCTTATTCTCTAGATTAAGCTGTGATGCCACATCATAAGTCATCTCCTGAGGCAACTGCTACAGTAAGTAAATTTGATTTCTTCTTTAATAGAATGCTTATTAAGTTTTATTCATATATTTCAGTTGTTTGTTGGAGATGTGAGTCGAGATGCATCGGAAGATGGAATCAAACGTGCATTTAGCTATTATGGTAAAATAAAAAACGTTTGGTTATCGAGATCACCGTGGGGATACGGTATGTATGTTTGTTCACTTGTTACGAAGTAAAGAATAGTTAATTATTATAATGGTGTTAAATTTTCATCTCATTTTATTTTTAGGTTTTATCGATTTTGAAGATGGAAGAGATGCATCAGATGCATTGAAAGCATTAGATGGACGAACTGTTTGTGGTGGACGCATTCGAGTTGAATTTTCACATGGAAGAGGAAAGGGTCGACGTATACCAACGAATTTGAGACGACCATTCAATCCACATGATGAATGCTATGAATGCGGAGGTTTGTTTTTCTCATCGACAAAAGACGATGATAATTGTTTTCTTGCATTTAGATCGTGGTCATTACGCTTACGATTGTGAACAACGACTAAGAAAATTAAGACAATCACCACGGTAAACTAAATTGATTGATGGACATCAACTGTACGGTCAAATTGAGATATTTGAACAGTCACGTTTCTAATGAGAATTTTACTTTTTCATACTTATGTATTTATCGTTATCCTTTTTGGTAACTTGTCCGTTTAACATGTAACAGCTCTTTAGTAAATCGTTCATAATTTCGTCTTCTACTTTTTAGATCTGCTGTTGGTCGATTTCGTAGCCGTAGCCCTGGTCGCAAACGAAGAAGTCGAAGTAAATCTGCTCGTAGTAGAAGTACAAGTAAAAATAGATTACATCACAAGAACTCGTCAATCAAGGATAAAAAATATCGGGCAAAGTATGTAGATTCATTAGTAGGACTCTTTTTTTTCTTAGATGTGTTCAATAAATATATAAACTAGATCCTTTAAATATATTTCGTCTATCATTACATTTATTTGGCATGTCTGGGTTATGTTAACCTTTTCCTTTTTCTTGTAGAGAAAGTCGCTCTCGGTCACCTGTTGTTTCATCACACTCTCCAATTAAAAGACATTCACGTTCGATCTCAAAATCGAGAGAGAAACGGTATGTTCTTTTCTTAATGCATACATTCATCTCAGTAATACTTTTCATTTTCTTCATAGATCAATTAGAAATGCAAAAAGAAGCCCGTCATAGTCAAAGAATAGGAATTATACTCGTTTTTGTGTCTCAGTTTACATGTATACTCAATTTTTTCATATTCTTTATTAATGTTTTGCCTACAGAACAAATCTAGTGATGTGTTTTTTATTTGTACATTAAAACACACTTTGTTGTTTTGTTGCTGTTATGGTTATAAATTGATGTTCTTTTCTGTTATTGTTTTGTTGTTCTTAATTTGTTTGTGTTAATTTTTTTTAGTTAAGCTAGATACAATAAAATATGTGCAGTTGATGTCTGCATGAGAGATGCATAACATTTTATTTATTTGAGAATCATAAAATAAAGGAAAAGAAATTTCAAAGAAATTTATAAAGAAATTTCAGAAAATTTTTCTGATATTTAAAGGTTGCTCTTTATCGTCTGTACTGATCAGCTCCATCTTAAATCAAATCGTGAATGATGTACACGTAACTACGAATCTGTCACGCGTACAATATTTTGCAAAAATAATTCGATTTTTATTTCAAAAACAAGTTTACAATATGATACAATTTATATAATTCTTAACAACATATAGTTGGTTAACAGTTTAGTAACTTTAATTTCAGAACAATAATATTTCTTGAAAACTTTCTTGATTAAGGAAAATTTAAGAGATCAGCATGGCCGCGTGTACGGATATAGAAATTTGAAAACTATGGGTATGAATTGAGTCATTGAATTTTCAGTAATATATTCGACGAAAATAAGTCCAGACTTAGAAAGCAGAATAATTTCGCTCAAATTTTAAAGCTCGTTGAACACGTTCATCATAAAAATCATGACATTCTAGCCCAGATCTACTAACTAAATAGACTCAATTCAAACTTTAAGAATGACATATTTTTTATGTTTCAACACTTAGTACTTTCCTGAGAGTTTGAGTGGAACAGGCAGATATTCATAGATATTCAATTAGGAATTTCTCAGTGGGACTAGATACTACGTCGATCTATTTTTACTCTAGATAGAAGATGAGATATTATAGTATGCGAACAGATTCAGATTAGTTTATTCAATAAAAATAGACAGTTTTAAGCAAAAGTGTCATATAGAAAAGATAAATATTTTTATCGACTACTGCAGTGTGTTAACTGTAGTTCAATATAATATTCCTAATTCTCGTAGTGTTGCTATATGACGTTAGTTTGTGTTATACAAAACTTGTAAGTGTCTGTTCTCGATCTCTTATTTGAGATGAATATATCTTAGATATTTCATTTATTTGAAGCATTTTCTGATGTTTCGTTTTCTGATGTTTCGTTGTTGACTGCCGTTTAGAAAAAAGTTGTTGTTCTTTTTCAGCCATTGCACAACATGTTAAAAATGAAAATAATTGTCGAAATTCAATTTCAAAATTTTCGTTAAAATATCCGTATAAGAATGGATTTGTTACTGCTGATATCATACATATGAGTAATATTAATGGTACATAAGTTGAGGAATTTGTTGGTGTTTTTTTATGGTATTCTAAATTGGTATCGTATATAGATGATGATTTTGAATTATCTAAAAAAAGAAAAGTAAATAGATCGTAATTATTTTTTAAAATTTAAATCAAATAAAAAAGTCTGTCAGCGGTGACCAAGCGGATAAAAATGTGAAAACTTTCTTCTTAGATATATGCATAGTCTAATAAACATAGCGAAGAGCCGCTGTTAGAGAAGAAATATTCTCATTTTAAACGTGTAACAAATAGCTGACGTTTAGAACAACGTTCAAACGTTACAAATAGAGAACGAAAAAGCTCAATTCTCATCATACGTCTTTTAACAATACATGGCGCTGTTCGTCCGATCATCCGTAAGAAGGAGGAAGGGGGAGAACAGAAAGTGCAAAAACAGCCATTTTGTCTCAAAAGTCCCTTTAAAATTAAAATTTTGTTTTTCCTTCTGAAGAAAGAAAGTCCTAAACATTTTCAGTAAATGTACATCCGTATATAAATAAAATAATTCCTGTCTACTACAATGAACTAGTTTAATATTTAGGTTACGGTAACCCCCTTATATTCATCATATAATTCAGATGTTTAAAGACTGATATTTAATTTATTTTAGTGGTTTTTGAATATGCTCATATATTATACATTTGTTTAAGGAAAGGAAGTGTCAAAGGAAGTGTCAAAGACAAATGAATGGGAATGAGAACAATGATCATACCTATTTTATTGATAAATACAATATGATAGATATTAAATGGTAGCCAACTAATTGCAAATATAAACATAATAGAAAATAGTAGAATGTTAATACGTCTTTGTCGTCGAATTTCTTGTCTTAACGATGGTATATTGTGTTTTTTTATTAAAAATCGATAGCGAAATCCTAAAAATTAGTATAACAAAAATGAAAGTATATGAATAAAGAAAATAAACAAAAAAGTTCACGTACTTTCTTTTAATTTGCATAGGATTTGATAATAAGTAACACTAATAATTAAAATTGGAACGATACATTGAAATATTAATGTTACTACTCTTTCAATTAAGCGCCAACGTCCACTTGGCCATTCTTCTAGACATACGTGCATTTTCTGATATTTTGATAAATGATATTTTTGACATTCATTACTACTAGTATTTGTATTATTTGTTGAATCACAATTCATTATAATCATAACATTAATAAGTGAATCATCGTAAACTTTTGATGATGTAGAGTATATAAATAATGGCGATGATGCAGTTATAGATATGATCCAAATGCATAATAGAATTATTGTGGCTACAATTGGTCCTATTAAACGTATATGTGGATATTTAACAGCTAAATAACGATCAATAGCAATTGCTGTTATTGTTAACGATGAAACATAAACATTAACGGCTGGAAATGCTTCTGCTAGATGACAAAATACAGGTGGAAATGTCATATAAATATTTAAATTTCGATAAATATTCAATGGTATTGTTATTAGACATAGAATAAAATCACTCAAAGCTAAATTTGCTATAAAATAATTATGACTTGTTTTTATTGTTGATCGTGTTAAAAATATATAGATTACTAAACCATTTCCAATTAGACCAAAAAATATTTCAATAGTTGATAGAAAAACAAATGTATATTGAAGCCAGAGACTTTCAATTACTCTCGAATTTAATAATAAATCATCATTTACACTATCCATATAATTATACGATGAATGAGTTTGATTTTCTACTTCCATTACATCATCTACTTCTAAAATAGAAAAATATGTTTCCATAAAATTTGTTAGCACTAGATGAGTAGACTAAATGAAATAATCATGTTTTCAAATAAATTTATGATCCAGAATTATTTTTGTCTCATGTATATCCATAATAAAAATTCAAACATTTTTACGTTGATAGTGACAGCGTGTGTGCAAAATGGATAAGAAAGCATCATAAAAAAAGTTTCTGAAAAAGATTTTTTATTTTTTTTTTGTTTTCTCTAAATGATTTCATTGTTAGAATTGTTTCCATACGATCACAACACTTAGATGTATATAAAAATTATTATCAAGAAAAAACTTGTTAAAAAATGTGTTTCATTAATCTTTGATTGAACTTTAAGCACTTAATTCTCAATTGCATGGATCAAAAACAAATTACTTATTTCTTAAAAAAATGTATTCAAAGTAATGCAAAAAACAGATTTTGTAGCGTCTACTTACAACAATATCAGAGTGTTTATAGTATTCTCTTGTAAAATGTTTGTGCAAACATGTCATTTGACGGTTACTTAACAAAATTCTTAATCTTTAATTTGATCCGTAATACACATGAAAAGCATTCGCTATTTAATTTGATAGAGTTTTTATTTTAATTTGAATTTTTATCGATTTTTAAACATTGAATACGGAGTTTCAAGAGACCGAGTAGAATAATGTAAAAGAGTAAATTGAATTAGGTCGTGAAACATTGAGTTTAAAGATTCTGATGCGAACAGTTTGTAGAACAAGTCGAGGTTTTCATATGAAAAATAGTTACACCCACCGATGAGATTCACAGCAAAAAAAAGAAATTGGTTGCAGTAGAAGTCCTCATATTTTTGATATTTATCACGTACCAAAAGTAAAACGTTTTTGGTCCGTCTAAATATTTTTCACATGAAAACTCAACTTGCTCTAGAAATCGGTCGTATCAGAATTATTTATACTTGAAGTTTTGCGAATGGCTTTCAAAGACTTGACATCTGTATGACTGTATTTATAAGTCCTCAAGGAAAAAACAAATGCCACGGAACATAACTCATTTTAAGAGTTAAAAAGCTGTTCTACATTTATATAATTATAAAATGCAATAAACATTGTTAGTGACAAAAATAAACTAATGTTTGAGAGAAATATGCTATATTCTCCCAAGGGTTATATCATTAGGTAAGAGTTATGCAAGTGGATAAGCCTTCAATAAAACAAAATACATTCGGATATGTTTTGAAATTAGACTCGAAAACATGGTTAACTAACCTATTTTTAAGCACTTATACAATTGATTTGCAGCGAGAAATAGAAGAACTATAAGAAACAGAGATACAAATCAAAAGTAATTGGACAAATGTCAGTCATTGCATGCTCCGAATATGCTACTACAGAGTGAATTTTTGGATAGAACAATGTCTGACCTTCAAAAACCATAGAAAACCAAATTTTTGTGATTGAGTTTGAGCGAGAGAAAATTTAAATGTCAAACATCGCCAAAAACCAGAAACTATTTAAAAGAGAACGCAATGAGAGCATTTTCAAATAATAGAAAAGTAGTTTAGAAAGACGCCAGTGGCACGACCCTCGGAGCACAAAGTTTTTCGAACGTGCTGAATCTAATGGTGATGTTAGTTTCCGTTGATTTTTGACGTTGTGATTCTGGAAAACCTGGATTTTGAGTTGACAAGTTTTGAGAGCATCTTTATTAAAAATTCGGTGATAAATAAACTTCTCTTTGAATACGCTCATTGGATAGAGCAAAATTTTTCTATATCTAAAAATGTACTTTTAATTGAAAATTTATTTTATTTTGAAGGATTTCATGGATGAAAACCAAGGCTTTTGCGTCCAAGTACTAAAAGGTTTTTTATTAAGGTTCTAGAAAACCTCTGGAAAACCATCGATAGAAAAAATAGAATTTTATCAAAAACTTAATATTTTGCATATCTGGCAGAAAAAAGAATCATTTTATTACAAATCTATTCACCCAAACTCTCTATCACATCATCATTGTTGATGGTACTGACTTTTTGGAGACTACCATAATGTTTTATCGTTATATATTCAAATGTCGAAATCACATGGAAACAGAGGTTATCAGCTATGCTGATTACCGCGCTAAAAGTTATTTCGTTCTCGAAGTTCAATTGACTTTGGATCTAAAAAAGTGATTTTCCATTGGAATCAAGCCAAAGTGATACGAGCAACATCCGATAGAATGTAAAGCGTTATGATAAAAAAAACATTACTATGGTAATTAACGTAGTTGATAACCTCTGTTTCCGTGTGATTTCGACATTTGAAAATGTAACGATAAAAAATTATGGTGGTTTCCAAAAAATCAGTACCATCA